CTAGTACCGCAAAAAAAAAAAAAAAAAAAAAAAAGGAGTATTATTATGTTAAGGGAAACATCATATAAGTTGTATAAGGAGTGACATTTATATGTGTAACTACTTTTAAGTAAATCTTTTTCAATCTTCAATTAAATATCACCATTGCAATGTTCATTGTAGCAGTGGGATTATATAATGTTAGATTTTGGGGCTGGGAAAATAGTTCAGTAGAATAAGTGCCTGCCTGGATAGCACAGGGTCTGGAGTTCAATCCCCAGTACTGGAAAAAAAAAGAAAAGAAAAAAAGATACAGTGTTAGATTTTGACTTACATGAAATGTTCCTATGTAGAATGGTGTTTATACTACTAAAAATCTCCATGCTTTCACTTTTTGAAATAGAAAAAATACTTTTTAGGACCTCGGTTTTTTTCTGGTTAGAAGAATAATTGGGAATTTTGTGGATAATGGGAAAATAACAATGAATCGAATTACAATTTTTCATAGTTACACAGAGTAAACATTGTGCACATTTAATTTTAGTTACTGCTAGTCATTTATAAATAATAGGTAAGTGAATATGATAATGACATTAGATAAATTTACGTGATTGATAGATGCCCCATTAGGAAAACATACTTGACTATTAAATATTGTCTTTTTCTTTCTGGTGACTTCAAATATACATGGCGAGATCACAAAAAATGCAAAAGATCACAAGTGACATGTGATCCTCTTTCTTTGATGTAACACCCTTCAAACTGAAAACCAAATCCCTCATCTAATTCCACCTTTGGGGGACAGAGGACACGTTCATAACAGAACATCTCCCTAATTATCAACAACTGATTTAGCCTCTGCAAAGTATAAGGCATCCTGTAAGAAGCTAGGCAGACATAAACCCCACCCTAAAGAGCTCACAATCTGTTTGGATAAATAGGACATATGCATACAGAGATAAATAACATCAGAAAATAGCTTCCACTAAGTCTCAATGTGAGTGGCATAGACAATGCTCATGTCAAGAATTCGTAGGAAGGAATAATTACTGCAGTCACATTTACATCATGGAATTATGTATAAACGGTTGTTCATGATATGTTACTCTTTAAATGTTGATTGTATCGGAACTCCGGTATATTAGGGATATGAATGCCACCACTTGGTATGCAAAGTGCCAGCAGCTTTAATGATCTCAAAGCACATAATAAACATTTTCCAAATGTGGCTTCCCTCCACTCTCATAAAGGAATTCGCCAATGAAGAAAATGAAGCAAGTGAGAATGGCTTCTTATCAAATTGGTATCATTTAGAATAAGAGAATTAAAAGATTATAAAGATCTCAATTTCTAGTTCACTAGTTCTCAGCAAACAGCCCTGTACTGTTGCGGACTATATGTCTGTATATGGCTGAAGGGCAGTAATGACTGGTTGGAATTATGAATAGTAGAATAGTGACTTTATAGAACATTGTTTCCATATTTTTGTGGTAACCATAGAACAGGTTTAAAAAACCATATACCACCCCGGTTGGTACTCCTTTCCCCTCCTCTTTCTTTCTTTTTTTTTTTTTTTTGCAGAAACGGGGATTGAACTCAGACTCTTGCGCTTGCCAGGCAAGAACTTATTCTACTGAGCCATCTCCTGGGCCCCATATTCTTTTTTTTTTTTGTCCCCTCCTCTTTCTTTCCTCTCACTTTCTCTTCATTTTCCTTTCTTTTCTTTTCTTTAAAAAGCACCCAGTCTCTTACAGTGAAAAAAAAAACATTTAAAGCACAATTGAAACATAGTAACTTCTTTTAATCCTAGAAAGGCCTAAAATAACCTTACATTTAAATAAATATCTTTCATATTTTCTTTAGAAGCAATCTTTTATTAAGACCCTAAGAAAAAATTATTACTTCTTAATAAATCTGAAACTATATAGGAAATATCTAATAAAACACTCCAAATATTCAGGAAGCTCTAAAATGGGTATGAATGATAAGCCTTCAGTGGTTCTAGAAATACGTAGATAAGAGGAGTACAATTTAAGTAACATTATAGTTGGAGATAATTTGGACTTCATGATGAAATCAATATATGTATATTAATTGAAGTAAAAATAAGTTATCATTGATGTATTAGATTTACTTGATCAATAAAAAATTTAAAAAATGACTTGAAGTAAGTAAATTATTAGATTACCATTGTGATATTAATTTTGGTTATATTTGTTTAATACATATAGTGCTATATATACCTACATGCATATGTGTGTATTTAGCTATATTATAATATAATATCAATATGTAAAATAAAAGCAATAATGTCTAAAAAGCAGGTTCATATTTTTTCCTCTTGCAATAACATTCCACATTTGATATCATTAATTGCTAATGAAATGGAGGTTGCTATGATTATACTAACAGTTAAATTACTGGATCCCACAGGTTTTTATGACCACCGAAGGAATTGCATTATCAGGCTAC